TTCTTGTTTTTTGTCTATATTTTGTTTATAGCTCTATAAAGACCTATGCTCTGGCTTGGCACCTGTGGCTCAAGTGGCTAAGGTGCCAGCCACGTACACCTAAGGTGGCGGGTTCGAACCCAGCCCTGGCCCGCCAAACAACAAGATGGCTGTAACCAAAAAATAGCCAGGCATTCCCAGCTACTTGGGAGGCGGAGGCAGGAGACTCACTTGAGCCCAGGAGTTGGAGGTCGCTGTGAGTTGTGATGCCACAGCACTCTACCCAGGGGGACAGCTTGAGGCTCTGTCTCAGGAAAAAAAAAAAAAAAAAGAATCCGAGGCAGAGGGGAGACACCTCCCTGTCTTACTGGCTTGTAGCTCCTTATTAGACTGTTCTGGTATTAGCAGTCTTTTGGACTGTTTGGATTTGCAGGCTAGTCCTGTTCTGGTATTTGCAGCCTTCTATTGGGTTGTTCTGGTTTTAGCAGTCGATTGTGCTGGTTTTGGTTGGTGTGTCTTTTGTATGTTCTGTGTTTTGTATGAGTGAGTGGGGGTCAGGCACGGCTCCACACCTAACTAATTTTTATTTGTCCATCTCTCCTGTTTTGTGCATCTGTTTCTCTTTGTTTTATTGACTTGTCTGTCTGTAATAGAGCAGGGACCACCTGGTAAGCCCTTGTTTCCTGTGTCAAACTGTATCCGTTTGGATAATTTTCCTGGTTTCGGCTGCTGCACCAAGGGCAATGATGAGAAAATGAAACCACTTTGTCAGGTTCCCTTTCTTGAGTCTGTGGTCTTCTCTGGATTCATAGAGAGTGAGTCCCTGGTAGGTCCCTGTTCCCCGTGATCACCCCTTCTTATGTTGGTGAAATTGTATAAAACTTGTCAGTTATTTTGTATTTGATTTGTCAGTTTTACATCACTTTCTGGGTGGAAATTGAACTTTTATTGTGCAGTGTTGCTCTAAAATCTTGGCCTGCTTGGCAGTCTGCTGTTTTTACTGGCTTCTATCTTTCTTCCATGGCCCCTTTGTTCTTCCTCGTTTTCATTTTGACACTGTAGTACAAATAACTCGCTTGAGTCCAAGATCCTCTCTTTTCTGGTAATTAAAGAATTAATACAAATTTTGGGGGTTTTTTTTGAGACAGAGCC